TTTTTTTGAGACAGGGTCTCACTATGCAGTTCAGGCTGGCCTTGAGCCACTTGTAGACCAGGATGGTCTTGAACTTGCAACAATCCTTCTGCCTCATGCATTTTCTGATCTCTACTAAAATGTTTACCTATGTGAGAATACAGTGAGAATGATTAGGATGTTAAAAAATAAATAACAAGAGCTTATACAGCAAACGTGCTTAAATGCAAAATATTATTCTGATTAAACTATCCATATATACCACTTTTTCTTAAGTGAAAAAATCAGATTAGCAATTTCTTCTGCATAATTCATACTTTTACTGTCCATATTATTACCTACAGACTAACAACATTTATTAACAACTCTGGATCCAAAATTAATGTGCATTTCCTAGGGCCTTAACCATAAATGCCAAGGGAGTAGCAATTATAGACTTTGCCTTTTAATATAGTGAAAATGAGGCATAAAGAAAAGCAACAAAAAATATGAACTCAGTCCAACTAACACAGGGCAATAAAATCTCAATTATCTATGCTATGAAAAACACCATTCAGGTAACAGTTCTACATACTGTACTTTATCAACTGCTGCATACCAAAAGCAAATTCTAAAGTTATACACCGATGTTATATTTAAGTCCTCAGTTTATAGCATAGTCTTGTCATGATGCCTAGCATTTTTCCAATCTGCATACTAGGAAGGTATTCTCAGGAGAACTGCTTTCCCACTGCAAATGCTGGGTTGATGGCCAGAGACAGAAGAGGATGCCTTTGACTTGGCCAAGTCTCCACCCTTCTTCCCTCTTGTGCTCCAGGGACCTGATCAAAATGCACAATAATGTAGGCTAGAGATACCCTCAGAGAAGCCATGAGAGGCCCAAGTGGGGGAAACGGAGGCAGGGAGGAAGAGGGTCATTTGAAGGAGTTGCCCTTACCCAATAGCATTTGCAAATGTTTCCTTGAAAATCTACATTTTCCATGACAGTGTGCCCTAAGTAGCTTTACTTTGTATTCCTCTACAAATAAATTCTGCCTTTTCAAATTATTGTTATGAGTTTTCCCTCAACCATGTCACCTGCCACATGGCCCCACCTCAGGACACTTTCTTACCCTGAGACCTTACAGGGAACAGTAAAAATCCCTATTTCATATCAGGAATAGCTAAAATCCCTTGCAATTTTATTTACATGCCAAGTTTCAGGCAGAGGTACTGATCTTCCCAAAAGTACCCCCTACGGGGAAGAAGTCAAAATAGAGGTGTACACAGAGTGAGGCTCCAGTGAGGCTCCAGTGAGACCAGAGGGCTCAGGAAGTCAAGAGAAACCTTTTTGGTGGATCGTACCACAGCCACGACTTTCACACAGCCCTACACTGTTCTGTCTAGACACCGAGCTACTTGGAGACCAACTACAAAGTAAGGCAGTAGAACAAGTTGCTTAGAAAAATTCCAAATGGAATGTATCATAATGAAATATCTCCCATTAACCTGACCTCTAATGAATGGAGTGAAAGGAGATAGCTGAAAGCTGATGTGCTCTTTTTCTTTAAGTTTTATCTTTTCCATTCTAAGGTAGGACTACAGCAATTACCCTATGCCATTCTCTCTCCTTCCTCCTCCTAGGAATAAATTATGACCTTCTATTTCATGGTTGTAAGAAAAACAGGGTTAATGTATCCTTTGAAAGGAAGGGCTCAAGGCACTAGATCCAGCTCTGTCTGTAAAGACTTCTGCTCCTAAAGTGTAGGACCAGTTCCGTGGTGTGAATTCCAGGCACAGAGCCTCCACTTCTCTCTCAAGTGATGTTCTTACATTTGTCCCAGTGACATATCTTACTCCAAGCCTTTGCAAGGGTGAGCTCTTTAAATGTTTTCTTTTTCTTGCAAAACTGCAAAGTTTTCCAATCTTTTTCCTCTGTTTTTTCACACCTGATTCTCACTGTAAATCTGACTAGAAGCAGCCAGCAATATCCATGCCAGAGACTTAATGTTATGCTGACTTGATATTTCCTTCACCAGATAATGTGCTCCATTATCCTTAAACTCTACCTTCCATAAAATGTCAGAGCATGGACAGAATGTAAAGTTCTTTGCAAAATCTAATACAAATGGCCTCTAGTCCAATTCTTAATAGAATTCACAATTCCTGATTTTTGTCTCAAACTACATCAGCATAGCAGCACATTCATAGCAGCATTCTGGTGTGAGTGCCCATCAAAATGGTCCAGCAAGCTCTAGTTATAACATCCTATGCACTTTTTTTTTTTTTTTTTGCCTACTCCTCCAAACTCCTCCCACAAACCACTCCCAAAGGCTTCTGAACCATACTATCAAGTATAGTCACAACAATCCCATTTCAAGATGCTGATTTTTTGGGTTAGTTTTCCATAATTATGACAAAATATCTGACATAAACAACCTAAAAGGAAGCAAGATTTATTTTGGTTCACAGTATCAGAGGTGTCAGTCCATGGTCATTTGGACCAAGTGCCTTGGAGCATGTGACAAGACAGTACACCATGCTGGGAAATGCATGGCAGAAGACACTGCTCACTTTGGAGCTAAGGATAGTACAATTGCCAAAAAGATTTGCACTATTAAAAAGAAGCCACATGCTTTCACCAGGAAAGGAAGAAAGATGCTTTGAGTGCATCTCAGGAATTAGCAAGACCATACCCATTGTAGGCTCAAAGATTTTTATTTGAGAAGACAGCCACAGGGCACTTTTCTTGTATAATGCCACACAGGAAATTGTTTCCCTGGGACATTATTCTCCATGTTCAGACATCTAGGTACTCATAGGCTGTTACTGCCATGGTGAAAGCAGGCTGGCTACTACTTGAGCCAGTGGCAGACTCTGGCATTGTTCACATGATGCTAGTTTGCAGGCATGAAGAATGCAAGAGTTGAGGGGTCATGGAGACTTCCAACAAGATTTCCAATAGAAATCCTTAGAGACCAGGCAGTGTGTGGTAGAATTAGAGTTGCTATAAACAGCCCCTGAGATTATGATGAATGAAGCTGTGAGAATAAAACCAGAGCTTCCATGAAGACCCCACAAAGTTAGAGATGCTAAGGACATGGAACATCTGCTGAGGAAAACCAAAGCCAGTAAACACAGCTAGGTGAAGAAAGAGGTCAGGTGGGCTGCAGCCGGGAAGACTGTTGAGGTGGGGGTACCTAATCTCTTTGCAGCTCACCTGGCACTTCCATGTGCTCTAGATGCCAGATGTTACAGTTTGTGACTAGATATCCCCAGAAACCTCATGCACTTTTAGATGGGGCTTTGTCAGAGGTAGCTGAATCTAGAATATGTGACTGATTCATGATTCAATGCTAGAATTACAGGTGCTGGGATTAAGGATGAGTGATTGCTGGAGCAGTCCACTGATTGGACTGGCACTGCCCTAATCCCAGTAGACTGGATACAATATAAAAGACAGAAATAGGCTTCTCTCTCTCTCTTCCTTTCCACTGTTGCTTTTGCTGTCCTCCACTGCCATGAATGAGTGACCCTCTCCCATGCCACCCAGCCTTAGAGCCAGCCAATTATGGACTGAAACCTC